CCCCCCCCGCCTACCCACTGCGGGCTGGCCCAGCTTGTTCGCTGAGCTGCGGTTTCCCTGATCGTCTGTGCAAGTGGTGGTAGCAGGTGGTGAGGTCTGTGCTCACTAGGACGTGGATCATGATTCCAGTGCGCCCGTCAGAGTAAGCGCCCCTTACGTGGCAGCCACGAGCCCTGCATGGCTCTGCGGGCGTGCTGGCGTAGAGAGCAAGGTCGGCACAGCACACACAACCCCGCCCAGGAGGCGACTTCATTCCCTGCAAGTGAGACTCGGTGTGTCTTGTAAGAGGCCAGTGGCAACCTTGAACACCATCTTAGCAGCAAAGGTGACCCCGTGTCCGTATCCCTAGTTTAAAAAAAAGTGGTAATACTGTTCCAGAAAACCGAGTGAAAATACACAGGAGTTTATAAAAGACAGAAATGCTGTCATCAAATGTATGAAAAGAAAAATTTCACCAACAGCCAAATACATGCAAATTAGGTGGCATTTAATTAAAGATTGTGTAGTTTCAGGAATTGGCGTGATCTCACTTCATTCGTTTTTGAAACGTCTTCACATTGGTGTAAATGACACGGCATACAATTCACTAACGAATATGGTGAATTGTACAAGGTGGAGGTTTGGGCGCCTTCCCAGACACCAGGGCCGTCACAGCCCCGGGAGTGATGTCACCGCCCCAGAAAGAAGCCCGGCACCACCACCCACAGCCCGAACCACCACTAGACCGCGTCCGTGGATCTCCGTTCTGGGTATTTCACGTGAAGGCAGCCGTTTGTGAGGCCTTCTGTCCTCGCTCAGCAGGCTGTTTTCAGGGCTCCCCTGTGGGTAGCTGGTATCAGAGCTCCAGTCCCTTTCGTGGCCGAGTGATACTTGGTGCGTGGATGGACCACACTGCGTCTGTCCCTGGGCGCTGGCTGTTTCCCCGTGACCGTGATGAATAACGCCGTTGTAAACCTCGTGTGCCGTGTTTGTGCGGCACGTGTTTTATTTCTCTTGGGTCTGTTTCTCGAGTGGAGTTTCTGGACTTGGGCTCCAGCTCGACGTTTCATTATTTGAGGACCCGCCAGTCTGCTGTTCTGGGGGCTACCCTGGTCTCCCTTCCCAGCAGCAGCGTCCGAGGTCGGACCCCCGCACACCCTGCCGCCGCTCTGACCCTCTGACTTTCCGCTCTAGCCATCCCACTGTGGGTGGGCTCTGTGTGTCCCTCGTGACCAGTGACACCAGACATCTCTTCACGTGCCTGTCGCCTGTTGATAGGTCTTCCTTGGAGAAGTGTCTATTCAGATTCATTGTCAACTTTTTTTAAGGTTACTTATTTATTTTGAGAGAGAGCGAGCGAGCGAGCAGTGGGGGGCAGAGGGAGAAGGAGATAGAATCCCAAGCAGGCTTCACATCCAGTGCAGAGCTGGACGCGGGACTTGTTCCCTGTGAACTATGAGCTCATGACCTGAGTTGAAATCAGGAGTCAGTGGGGGGACAGCGAGGGGCGGGCCCAGGGGAGGAAGGGTGAGGGCCGTGGGCTCTGGGCAGCCGGAGGGGCCTCAGCCTGAGGGGCCACGTCTGAGGTCACGATGGAAGGCGTTCTCAGAAGCCCAGACAGGGGCTCGCCCGAGACCAGGCCACCGTCTTGTTTCTCGGAGGCTGAGTTTCTCTGTTCACATGTGGGTGTTTTGTGCCATTTCAAAGATGAAAATAAAAGACCACATTATTCAGGAATCCAGACCAGATGGGCCAGCAGAACTGGACAGACCCTGGTGGGGGTGGGCGGGGTGGGGGGGCCCTGGTCAGAGGCCCTGTCGTCCTGCGAGGCCTCTGTGTTGTCTGTCTGTCCACTGGGCGTGCGAGGTTGCCCCCCACACGGGGGGCGAGGGGGCTGGAGCCGCGGGGAGGTGCAAGGCCGCCCAGGCTGCCCTCGGAGGGGCCGCGCTCTGGGCCTCTGCGGGCGGTGCCGGGAGACCTTCCCAAGTGCGCGAAGTGCCTCCCTGCCGCCTTCTGGACCTGCACAAACACGGGAGCGACTGAGTCCCCCCGGGTGTGAGCAGGTCCTTCGGCCATGAGGACCTGAGTGGGGTCCATCGCGGGGAAGGGGGCGCTCTTCTTTTTTCTTTTTTTTAATGTTTGTTTATTTTTGAAGGAGAAAGAGATAGAACTTGAGCTGAGGAGGGGCAGAGAGAGGGAGACACAGAATCTGAAGCAGCTCCAGGCCCTGAGCTGTCAGCACAGAGCCCGACGTGGGGCTCGAACCCACAAACCGTGAGATCATGACCTGAGCTGAAGTCGGACGCTCAACTGACTGAGCCCCCAGGCGCCCCAGGGCTCCTCTTCTTGGTCTCTTGGGGACACTGAGGCACTTGGACAGAGAGGGGCCACTTGTCCCTGTTGACTAGCAGGTTTCAGGCCCAGGAAGTTGAGACACTTTACAGGGAGTGACTCGGGTCGTGGCCCTGGCCCACCCCAAGCAGTGCCACCGGCAGATCTGCGCGTGGCCATCGGCCTCGGGGTCGCCGCCTCGCGGAGCGGTGGTGCTGGGGCCTGGCGGCGGCCGAGAGGGGGCCTGGGGCAGCCGGGAAGGAGCCTCTGTGCCCACAGGCAACCAGCGCCACGGAGCTGGGGGCCGACCCCTGTTCCCCGAGGCTCCGGCCGCAGCTGCCCGAGTAAACTCGTGGGACTTCCTGGCCCAACCAGCACTGACGGGGCGTTCGGGTCTGGGACCGCCACGGCCGCAGTGCCGACTAGATGGGGCGGTTTGCGTGGCCCGTAGGGAGTGGCTTCCTGGGGCCGCAGCGGGCAGAGTGCTTTTAGAAACATGGCATCTGACCCGAAGACACTTGGGTCTCACCATTGGAAGTGGGTCGTCCCCTCCTTCTCTGTCCCCACGGGGACCTGGTGATTATCCAGCCTCAGTAACAGACACAGACTCCAGCGCGCGAGCTGGACGGGACCCTTGGCCTGGAGCTGGGTTCCCGGGTTGGAGCCCCCGGGCCCAGACCCCGCAGCAAGTGGCCTGGGAGCTGGGCCTGCTGCAGCCGTGGCCAGAGGCGGGGTCAAGGGGAGCCTGGTCTACCCCACAGGACTGTCTGTGTGTGAGCGTGCATGTGAGCATGTGTGTGAGCATATACACATGTGAGTGAGCAAGCGGGCTCGAGCATGCATGTGAACTGAACACGCGTGCGTGAGTGTGTGTGACTGTGCACATGCAAGCGTGAGGCTGTGTGATGTGTGTGGCGGTGGCTGGCATGCGGCGCCGTGGCTGGCACAGGCCTGGGGGCGGGGCGCAGCGGTGTCCAGGAAGGTGGATGGTGTGATGTTCTGTGCGCTCTGAGGTGCCTGTGGCCTCTGGAAGGTGGCAGGAGGGGCAGGGACTGGCGCAGGGGGCGGGGGGTGCAGGGGTGTTGGGAGGCGGGGGGCCGGCTGCCATTCCTCCTCATGCAGCCTCCTGGTTCTGGCCGGAAAGGCGAGTCAGGCCAGTGGGTGCGGGGCTGGCCCCACCGGCAAGGGGCCCCAGGGAGTCCCTGAGTGCCCGGGGCCCCCTGGGCTGCCCAGGGAGCTGCCCCCCAGCAGAGGAGCCCAGGGTCCCCTCCCCACGTGAGTGGGAGAGGGGGGGCCTTGGAATTTCCATGTGAGATTTTCCAGAGCCGGTTTCAGGCATAAAATCACATTAGTGAATTTTCAAGCAAAGAGACGATTCTCTGGGCGTTTCTAAGAACTCTGAGCGTTGTGGAGATTAATGCTGGGAGCGGCCTCGTCAGACACAGATGTTTGCATATGGCTGTCCCCCCCCCCGCCCCCCCGGGGACACCGAGTCCCGCTGTCCTGAAATTCCAACAGCCGGGCTCTGCCCTTTGGACGGCGGTTGACTGATTGCGTCCTCAGTGCTCTGAGCTGGGGACAGTGGGGGACGTGTCTTCAGGGTTCTCACCGCAGCTGCTGAGCCCAGCCTGGGGGGGCTCCAGCCTCAGCCTGTGGCAGACGGGGTTTTGAGGTGGTAAAACCAGTGTGTGTGGTGTGTGTGTGGTTGTGTGGTGTGTGTGGTTGTGTGCGGTGTGGTGCTGTGTGTGGTTGTGTGTGTGTGGTGCATGGTATGTGTGGTTGTGTGTGTGTGTGCTGTGTGAGTGCGCGTGAGCGTGCATGAGCTAGTGAGCAGGGTGTTTGCATAAGCGTGGCTGGGAGCCCCTCCCCCTCCCCAGAAGAGGCGGGAGCACCAGCCGTGTGGGCAGGCGCCCAGGGACACCTATGGAACCTGCTGGCAGCCGTGCCTTCAGCCCCCGCCAGCCCGCCAGCCCGCTGCGCCCTCATGCACCTGGGGGCCCTGGTGCCCTGGCCCCCCATGGCTCTCGGGGTAACTGGAAGCCCCCAGCCCCGTGCAGAGATGCGGTGGTGCGCCGGGCCCAGCGCGCGGGCTCCAGGGAGGTGGAAGGAGGGGCATCCCGAGGGCACCGGCGGGCGGGGGGCTGAGGAGCACGTGGCTCCGAGCAGGTGGGAGCCTGGCCCGTCGGGCCCCCCCACCCGCCCTTGGGGTCTTCGTGGCAAACGTGTCTGAGGCAGCACTGTGCACAGGAATTGGAACGTGAGCACTTGAGTTCCAGTTTTGCGCAGATTGGTGGTCCCGGGCGAGGCTCCCTGGGGTGCAGGGTCTCCGAGGGCAGTGACAGCAAGCAGGGGAACGGGCTGCCCTGGGTGCCCCAGCAGATGCCTCAGGGGCCGGGCCAGGGCCTTTCTCGCTATGATGCCCCCCAGGCCCAGGCCACGCGAGCCGGGACCCTCTCCCGCTTGCGGTCTGCAGCCGCTTCCAAGGCGGGTGACAGGTTCCCCAGGCGCCTGTCCCCTTGACTCAGAGGTTTGAGCCCAAGGTGGAAGGAGCCTCCTGGCTTTCCAACTGGAGCTGGCTGTGGGCGGGCGGGGGGCGGGGCGGGCGCGGGGAGGGGGGGCGGGCCCTGCCGGCCCCGCCCCCCGGGACGCAGACACCGCCCGTGGCCCCGCCGAGCGAGCGCACTGCACTGATGGCTCGCGCCCCGGCCAGCCGCCTGGGCCTGCTGCTGCTGCTCACCCATGGCCTCGTGGCCACCAGGGCCGACCTACTGGGATTCAACTGGCTGTGGTCCCCTAGGACCTCCAGGCCCACAGGGGAACTGGTCCCCGCGCTCCCGGGCAGCCCACACGCGCAGCCCACGGAGGAGACCACCACGCTCGCGGCCCCCCAGGATGACCCCGCAGGGTGGGGCAGGGCCCCTGCCAGCCCTGGGCTGCCCCCGGGGAGCCTGCAGGCCGGCCCGGACGGGACTTCCGCTGCACCCACTGCCTCCACCGCAGGCCCGGACACGAAGGAGGAGAACATCGCCGGCGTCGGAGCCAAGATCCTGAACGTGGCCCAGGGCATCCGGAGCTTCGTCCAGCTGTGGGATGACACCGCTCCCAGAGACAGCTCCACGACGGCAGAGACGCCGGCCCCTGTGACCCCCACGGCCCCCCCCAGCCCCCCCTGGGGGGACGGGACCGCTCCCTGGCTGGGCAGTGGGGCCCCGACCTCTCCCAACACCCGGAGGACCAAGGCCGGCACCCTGCCAGCACCCACCCAGCTGTCTCCCTCCGTGGGCAGGCCCCGGGCACCGCTCAGGGAGCCCTCGGTGCCGCCACCTGCTCCAGGTAGAGCCTCTCTCTCCTCTGCGCCGGGCGGGGCCCCTCCCTGGGGGACCCAGCTGTCCCCGGGGCGGCCCCAGGATCTGGACGGCGAAGGACCCTCCCCCGAGGCGGCCCGGGCCGGCCGGCTGCACCGACTCGCTGACAACCGCAGGCGCTGGCCGCATCTGCTTCCGCTGGTGACGGGTCTCCTGGGTGCCCACGCCGCCCCCTTGGCTCTGCCCTCTGACCCCCCCGCCCTGGCGTCTCCGGCCCCACTCCCAGCTGTCAGCGGGGACAAGGGTGCTTGGGCTCCTCGCTCGGCTGCCTCTGCGGGGCCGGGGCTCGCTAACAACTCCGGGCAGCCTGGGCCCCGCCTGCCGCCGCCGCCGCCCTCCCTGCCCGCGTGCGGCCACCTGGGAATCGGGCGCTCCTGGCTGCCCAGCCACCTCCAGCACTGGAGCCGCGAGGAGGTGCGGGCCGCCGCCCGGGCCTGGGGGCGCCTCCTCGGGACGCACTGCCACCGCTTCCTCGCCGGGTTCTTCTGCCTGCTGCTGGCCCCGCCCCCCGCCCCCCCCCCCTGCCGCCAGTTCTGCGAGGCCCTGGAGGACGCGTGCTGGAGCCACCTGGAGGCGGGCGGGCTGCCGGGCACCTGCGCCTTGCTCCCGGCCCAGGAGGACGGGGGCTGCGTGTTCATTGGGCCGGGCGCAGGTAACGGGCAGGCCCTCCTCCCCGCGCTGCCCTTCCTGTCCCGGCGCCTGAAGCTGGCGCAGAAGCCCCCGCCCTGCCCACGGTGCGATGCCGCCAAGGCTGAGCCCTGGACTGGGAGAGAGGGCCTGTGACCCTGGCATTGTGTGTGACCAGGGCAGATGCTCGTGCGCACCCCTGCCTGAGCGTCATGGCTCACTCAGCGCTCCCCATGCTCCAAGGTAGCCGTTACTCCCCAGTGCCGGTGGGCGTGGGGGGGGACGGAGGCGTCGGGGGGCGTCGGAGCCGTGGAGCCGAGACCTGACCCGCCTGAGGGACCCGGGATCCCAGCCAAATTCTGGCCCTTCTGGCCCGTTGTGGCCCAGCCTGCATGGCTGGGGGTTTGGGGTTCGACGTTGGAGGGAGGCTCTCGCTGCTTAGAAGGTCAAGGGGTCACAGCCCTGTGAGCAGTGGGTCTGTGGAGCTCAGGGGCTGCCCCCGCCCGGATCTGTGAGCTCTGGGGGCCGCTCCGGGGCCTCTCCCCCCCACCTGAGCCGTGTCCCCTCGTGCTGGGAGGGGACAGGGCAGGGCTGTAGCCTTAGAAAGGCCTCCCCAGTGGCCTCTACATCCGCGGGCTGTGTGCCTGCCCCCGTTCACACTCCAGGCCCCGGCCCATCCCGGTTGGGGTGTGTGGCCTGCTTCCCCCCCGCCCCCACCCTGCACTGTCGGGAGCAGCCTTGACCTGCTTCAGTCCCTGGGGTCGTTGGGCTTTGGAGCTGGCTGCTGGGGGCGGAGGAGCTGCACCGGACCCCAAGGCGGGGGACTCACGCTGCTGAGTCCCCAGGAATTGCCCCGTACCCACCTCTGAGGAGGAGGCGCATGGGAGGGGACGGAGGGGACCATGGCTGCTGCGGACGGACCAGCAGGGACACGGAGCCCGCGTGGGGGTGGCCAGGAGGTCATCCGGCAGAGGAGAGCCTGCAGCGGCCGCCCTTGCGTCCGGCTGTGTGCAGAGCGGGGCCTGTGGCCGCCGGCTCGCCAGGGCGGGAGCGGGGGCCGGCGTTCTGCGCGGCAGGCAGGGCTGCTTGGGGTGTGGAGTTTCTCTGACCACAGCTGCTTTGGTCGGCGAGTGGCTGGACAGCTGCTCACGTTGCCAGGGCCCTCGCCTGTCAGGGAGGCCGTGTTCCGGGCGGAATCCTGGGGGATCCCTCCGTCAGTGCTGACTGCCTGTGCCCCCTCAGGTCGGGGGGGTCAGGCATCCATCTCAGCGGGGACCTCTCCCGGTGTGTTCTGGCCGGCAAGGGTCCCCGGGGGAAGCAGAGCTGGGGGTCTGGGGGGCATCTTGCCTCCTCTGGCCTCTCAGCAGGGGACCACCCACCCAGGCCTCCGGACCTTTCCATCCCCACTTGATGGGGACAGGTGGGGCAGGAGGAAGGCCCTGATCTGGAGGGAAGGGACCAGGGGACCAAGGAGGACCCTAGTCCCCTCCTCCATGTTGGTAACTGGTCCCTGAGGAGCGAGTGCCAGGGTCCTGGCTGACGGAGGTCCTTGGGTTGCCTGGGTATTGGGAGGCTGTGGGGTGGGGGGGTAGTGGGAGGGGCGAGG